TCGCCAACAGGTCTGGGGTACCTGATTAAATTGTCAGACTCTGCTAATAAACTACCCCCATTACGGTCACCCAGGCCAACTAGATACGTGTCTTCTACACCTACCCCCATTGATGCCGTCGTCCGTAAATGTAATCTAATTCTAACACGTGCCTCGTTGATTGTCTCCATCTAGACGCGCCTGATTAAGTGAGTGACTATAAAAACCCCAGCTTGTCCGCAAACGGAAAGTTAGATTAATAATTAGTAAACAGTACGTTCAGTGTATAACATAAATAAAAGGCAGTATTTAAAATATTCGTGTTTTACCTACCATATTGCACTTTATCAATTCGTGCATTTTTTAGTACTTTAATTTTTTAAAATTTACAATAGAGTTTCATGACTAAAACCATTGCGCACCTTATGAAAGTGATGATGCGTCTATAACAGTGCGGAATAGTTGGCGGAATAGTTGATTAAAAATTAAAATTAGTAAACAGGACGTTTAGTGAATAAAATAAATAAAAGAGAGCCTTTTATCAATCTATGCTAATTTTAATATTCCAACAATAATGTCCTATTACAATAATGTCCTCTGCAGATTTGCATTCACATTTTGCTAATTATATTATACCAACAATAATTGCCTCTTAGAGATTTTGCATTCACATTTTTGTATTAGCGTGAGTTGAATTTTTTAAATTACCTCCCTTGGAAAAATGACAAAACAGTTTAATTAATAATTAATTAATTCGACCCTACTATTATTAAAATGTATCCACTTTTTCTAGGAACCAAAACTAAAATGATATTTGACATTGATCCGTTTAATATGTTTTAGCAATTTGCGTGTATTTAATATTTTCTTTACGATTTGCTTAAGAGTAAAAACTGTAGCAACTATAAAATAAATTTAAGTCGTTATATAAACAAACACTACTCTATTACTGTGATGCACCGAAAAGCACTGCATGGTGCGATGTTTACTTTTATGGTTCCAAAACCTATAGCGATGACACGAGGACTTACACACAACCAGCCCGCTTATATTATATTATGAATTATATTATAAATACATTATTATAAATGTAAAATTTAAAGAAAATGTATAACCAAACCCAAAACTGCCTTTTTATAATCACAAAAGTAGAGATATTGCAATAGTCAGTTGTATAAAAAGAATTAAATTTTTTGACTATAATATATTTTCATAGAGTGGACGGAATTAAAATTCTTACTCAAATGTCTCAAATCAAGCACTAAATGAGAACTGACTCAAATGTCCCAAATCAATCACTAAATTAAAGCTAATTAAACATCTTACCGTAGCCAAGTATAACGCGTGGTACATCTCAACTTCTCGATCATAAATGACAACCAAAGCTTTCAGAGGTTGCTGGAAAAAAAATCATGACACTAAGTTTTTTTTTACTTCCTCGTATACACAGTATAGAGGAAATATTGTAATCGTGCTGAATAGTTACCAAATATTTTAACCGATTTCGTCGTTTTACACTTGCCTACTTTATCATATACGGAACATAAATGTATACCTATTGTATCGCTGAGTCACCAACCTATAGGCAAACACCTCAATTGTATACCTACTTTAGTGACTGCAGCTTTCAGCGTAGGATGATTGTCAAAAGCACTACTTCCATATCCTCCCCTTCTGTATTGTCCATCGCATGTTGTTCTGCCGATTGGATAAGGGTAAATGACTTGCAGGTTGCAGGGATATGGTACGGTCACGTTGAGGCAAGGGAAATTCACCATCGACTGTTGGATTAAACTCAATGTTGATGGTGGTAACATCACTAGAATCAGCAGTTGGATCATCCTTTTCAACAGCTGAAGTGATAGTTGAAATATTAGTATACGCAGCTTTTGTTTACAATATTATCCGAATAGAATTTTGTTCAGTCGACGGTAAATATTAAACAACTTTTATTAGCCATGAACCCTTGATTTAACCCTAGGTCTGATGGTAGCGGGAAAAGTCATGAAGATTCCGTTAAATATTTTAAAATCGTATACGCTGTTGTTAAAATTATGATTGTTGTAAAACTTAACGGTGTGGTTTTAGTCGAAGTTATTTAGCCACAGGTTTATATGACGTTTTTAGTTATTTCGGTAACTACACTCATTTTTTTAAAAAGCCTTTGAGTAAGATTCCTTAATTCCGAAATATTTTTTCAGGTTTAAGTTTTTAATTTATTTTAAGGTCGCTATGAAGGTAAAATAGACGAAACACGAAACATCGTCCATGTCGAAAATTATATTCTGGGGCATCTTATCGAACTCAGTGGGTTACATTATATAGGGTAGACCTTAACCAAACTCCAGCAATAAAAATAACCCTACCCGAAAAAGTACCTCATAAACTATTGATTAGCAATAACTTATGTTATCGAATTTAGATCTAAGATCTAGATCTATAAATTGTATTTCTATTTCCAGACTAGAGTAAAAGCCGCGACATTAAATAAAATATAAAAAGAAATCCAAAAAAAAAAGAAAATCAACCTTAAATAGAATAAACAAATAATGAAAGCTTAAATAAAATTACAAAATACTGGAGTTTCAATGTAACCTGTTTACAAAGATATCCACAATCAAATATAGTCTGCATTTTACTCAATGCTTTCTAAATTTAATTTGTCTAGACATTTTCGTTCCGTAATTTTATTTAGATCTAATATTTTATAATTTACCCATGTTCCACACCGGTGCTAACTAGAGCGCTTAACTATTTTTAAATTTAGTTGTTTTTCTATAAATTTGATCTTTAGAAAATACTAGCCGTCCCGGCCAGGCCCTGCTCTGGCTTCTGTGAAAAACCTTTCTGTGAAAGACCATTACCTGTGTATTTAGGAATCATCATAAACCCGGCATTGCCCACCCAAACCACAACCAACCAAAACAACAAAACGCAAACATAACGCTAACACAATTACAAATACAAACGAAAACAAAAACCTAACAACAAACCCAACCACAACCACAAACACCAATACCAACCAATAACAACACACAAAAAACGAAAAAGCAAACGAAAACAAACCAAATCCAAACACAAAACCAACCAAAAACACAAATACAAACCCAAACAAAAAACACAAACGAAAACGAAAAAAGAAAAAACAAAAACGAACCAAATCAAACCGCAACCACTAACGCAAACCCAACCTAAACACAAAGAAAACACTAACGAGAACATAAACGCAAAGTGCTCACAGTCTAGCCCGGGGCGGAATCGCCTGTTTTAGCTTAATAAACGACTATAGTACCCCAACTTATTCATAATCTTTTACACTTACTTAAACGAACGCGCCTGTTTCAATTTAATGAACAATTATAATACTCCAAGCTTATCCGTAAAATACCTAACATTGGCACTTGATCAATCCCCGCTTATTATGTAATTATTTTTTTCCCAACACCAAAACAAAGTAATAAAAAGTAAATTCTTTTCCACTAATGCAATTATTTTATAAAGGGAAGTAATTGTGTTTTCCTAATTTATCAAAGGGAAGTAAGTGCTATAGGACTAAATAAAGACATAATTAGAATTTTTGTAAAAGATGATATTTTTTTTAAACTTGTGTTTAATGAACATGCCGAAAATTATTACTTTCAGTTTGATAAATGAAAATAATTTCCCAAAACTTTCAATATTAATTTTTTAACTCATAAATTCAGACCGCAAGGACTTTACTTATCTAACACTTTAATCCATCTAAGTATGTCAACGACAAACATATGTATTTTTACATACAGAACTGAGCTTTATATAATAGATTGGAGTATTTATCCTTCTGAACTAAAATAAAATCTGGTTTAATTTTCTCAGAAAGTCAACAGGGATTTCTTGGGACAATTGATTTTTACTTTCTCGTATACAGAGTAAAGAGGTAGTTTGTAATCGTGCACAGAAATCACATGAAATTTTGACAGTTTTCACCGTTTTACACCTCAGTAGTTTATCACATACGGAGTGTAGGGGACTTATTTTAATCGGGCAAAAATTAAAAATCCAAATTGAACAAACTTTTGGCGTTTTATGCGTAACCGAGTCGGAAAAACTGGGTTTTGAAATTGTGTGTGTTCGTTTGTGTGTGTGTGTCTGTAAACACGATGGTAGGATGATGAAATTTCATATATAAGTATAATACCAAATTTGTAGTTCTGTATTATTTTTTTCAGCGATTTCTGATAAACGGAAGTGAGTCTAATGCTACTTTTAGTTTGTAACAACCCGTACAACCTGAGTACTGTTTCACTTAGATAAACGAAATTTCACATATAAGTAAAATATCTAATTTTCGGCCTTCAGACGAATTTTGATTTTATTTCCGTTGACTGGCAGTAGTAATTATTGCTATTTCCGATTCATAAAAAAAATGAATTTATAAAGTACTAATAATATTCCGTACTATTATATTCATATTGGTGCGCAATTCTTTTATTCTACGAGATTCTATTATATTTTTTAAAGTTTAAGTAATTAAAAATTGATAAAAAATCATGTGTATATCCCACGTTGCCATCCCCCATAGTGTTATATAAGAACATTAGATTATATATATATATATATATATATATATATATATATATATATATATATATATATATATATATATATATGGATCTATAATAATAGTTTCGCTATCTTTCTGTGTATCTGTACATCTATCAGTTGGGAACGCTTTTACTATAGCGAAATCCCAAGCAAAGTAAAAACGAGCATAGTAATACGAAAAACGAAACGTGGCGTTACATGGAACATATAGAAGGAAATAGACTAAAGCTCGAAAAGTGCACACAATAACATGACATCTTTGATTCTCTAATAAACAATGAATTAAAAAGCCAATGCGAAAAAAATTAACAATATTATTGACGTCATCGATACTTTATAATAAAAACACTTTCATTACCGCTAACTCATTTGTCTAATCTTAAAAGTTGTTTGTATGAACAATTTATCTCATGCATCTCTTCGGGTTGGGGCCAAGC